TCACAGTCTTGAACTTAATCCAGTCCTCAGCACCTTCTTCTTGATATTCCACCAAGTATCCAGTGATTGGAGAGCCCCCATCACGGTCTGGTTTATTCCACACAAGGGAGACTTCAGTCTTGTCAACATCCACATGATGTAGGTCCTTGGGTGGCCCTGGGGGATCTTTAAAAAAAGAAGAAGTCATGATGAATAAGTAGTTCTCCCAGAGACAGTTAAATGATACTTTGTATCCAGAGAAAGCAACTCACGGAGAGGATCCACAGCCTTGATGGGTTTAGGCGTCTCAACAAAAGGACCACGTCCATATTGGTTCTCCGCAGCTACTCGGAAGAGATACTGATTGCCTTCAGTAAGATGTTTAGCCAAATGACTCTTTTTCTTAGATGTAGTTGAAAGAGGTGACCACTGGGCACTGGCAACATCTTTCCTCTCCACCACATAGTTTGTCACAACAGAACCGCCATCATCCAGGGGTTCCTTCCAAGTAAGGTAACAAGAATCTTTCCTAATTTCACTGACTTCCAGATCTCTAGGTGGCCCAGGTTTGTCTGAAAAGTGTTACGTTATAGTTATAAAAGGGATTTAATCCAGACAAGAGAAAAAAGGTGTATCAAAATATACTTTTAATGGCATAAGGATTAAAATTCTTACCCAATACAAGTACTTTCACTGAGACAGTTTTGGAACCAGCTGGATTCTCTACTGTTAAGGAATAAATTCCACCATCTTCATGGGCAGCATTACGAATTTCAAGCTTGCTGCCGACTGGAGTAACATCAATTCGTGCTTTAGTTGGAGCCTCTCTGTCTTCCTTTTTCCAGGTGACTTTTGGGAATGGCACTCCTTTGATGATGGCACTCAGTCTTAATGTATCACCAACTTTAATGTGTTGTTCTCTTGCCATGTTGGCATCAAGAATCAACTCAGGGGGTTCTAGAATGAAAAGAACAGCACATTCAAATTTGATTAGTTAATGCATGTTAGAATTATGCATATTCAGTCAGGCACCTATTCTCCTTGCACATGCTGATGAAAACATTTTACTCACCAAGTCTGTCTTTTACCAGCACTGGCTCTGGAACATAAGCTGGATCTGATTCACCAGCTTCATTGACTGCCAACACTCTGAACTTATAGGTCTGACCATCCCGAAGACCAGTGACTTTATATTTAGTTTCAGGACATGACTCAGGAGTATGATTGGCTCTTCGCCACTCTTCATCACCAACTTTTTGGTACTCAACAATGTAACCCAGTATCTTGCTCCCGCCATCATGACGTGGTGGCTGCCAGGTTAGATCAACTGAGTTACATGTTGTATCTACTGCTTCAGGATTCACTGGTGGACTTGGTTTAGCTACATAAAAATTAAAGAAAAACCAAAAAAGGTTTTAGAACATAGATGGGAAAAAATGTTGGATCATAAACAAACTGAAATGAAGCATCAATACTATACCAATTGGATCTCTAGCAAAGACTGGTTTGGATGGTGGGCTTGGATCTCCAATACCAATTTCATTTTCTGCAGAAACCCGGAATTCATACTGACATCCTTCTAGAAGATCAGGAACCCTAAATTTAGTGTATGGGTGGATAGGCTCTTTGGTAACCCTAGCCCATCGTTTAGACATCGTTTCCCTCTTTTCTAGGATGTAGTTGGTGATGGGCTTTCCTCCATCGTGTGGCTTGTTCCAGGTTACTAATGCAGAGTCTTTGGTGACTTCTGTAACAATGGGCTGATCAGGTGCATCAGGAACTCCTATAACAAATGTTAGCAAAATGTGTTAGAAGTTAAGTTTTTTAAACTACATCAAGAATTGACTCCACAGAAAGAAACAATACATACTGAAACGATCTTTGGCTTTCATTGAATCAGACACCAGAGGATCACTTATTCCATACAGGTTTTCAGCATGTATACGGAAAATGTAATCTTTTCCTTCCAGCAGTTTAGGAACTTTGCATGTTGTTTTAGCACTTGCAGAGGTCACAGGCATCCAAACATCTTTACCCAACTCCTTCTTTTCAATGATGTAGTTGGTAATTTCACTCCCTCCATCATCTAAAGGTGGCTTCCAGGAGATTACCATGTAATCTTTGGTTACCTCATCAAAAATGACAGGTCCTACTGGTGGTCCAGGACGATCTGCAGAAAAGAAGTCAGAGCACAAAGTGTCGTTTCTACTTCTGCTTTTGAAGGAACGGAAGGTTCCTTGTCAAACAGTACTTACCAACAACATTGACTTGACAGAAACCTTTCCTGGAGCCTGTACTGTTCTCCACAACGACACAGTATTTGCCAGAATCCGAACGTTTGGACTTGATCTTCTCTAGAGCAAGTGTTGTCGGAGTGATCTTTATATGAGTACGTTCATCTTCTAGCACATCAGCTTCATCTTTGAACCAACTCACCTTCGGCTTTGGTTTGCCTGAGTAGCGGCCAGTGAGGGCAAAAGCTTCACCAACCCTAACCGTGAGCTTATCTCTGAAGTCCAGGTCAAGTGTTGGGGGAGCTAAAAGTTAATAAGAACGAACAAAAAAGTCACTTTACTGGTATCTTTGGCAACTCTATGAATGTACAATTTTCAAAGTATAAATTGTGGGTGACACATACCCAGTTCATCCTTGCAAGTGATTGGCTTGGTGCAAAATGATGGCTTGCCTTGTCCAACAATATTGACAGCACTGACACGGTATTCATAGGTATCACCCTCTTTTAAGCCTTTAACTGTGTATTTTCTGCTAAGCAAGTTGTCATTTGTAACTTTGTGGAACTTCTCCGTTCCGATGAGCCGGCTTTCTAGGACATAGTTAATGATTTCTGATCCACCATCATATTTAGGAGGATTCCAAGTCAAAGTTACAGTATTTTTAGTAACTTCTTTGACTTCTAGGTCTTCAGGTCGCTCTGGTACAGCTGTAAGTATGAACACAGAGAAAAATGTGTCATATAAGGAATGTAACAGAATGTAGTAAAAACTCCTTTGTAAGGACTGCATTTACACATTAAGTGATCTGCTTCAATAAATAACAGAAGTGACTCATCATGTGACTATGCAAGCTAAAAAGGGCCCAATACAATCTAATTGTCTTAATGAAAATTAGAATAAGAAAAATTAGGTGAGAAGATAAAGGTTCATTAAAACTAATTTAGGAAAGATCTCCAGAGTTGGTGGTTTTAGGGTTAGGAAAATAATTAGTTTCTATTTAAGCTACTGAGTGGAATGTTTAAAAAAAATCAGAGTGTTATACACAGAAAGGATTTGATGAATCATAAATATTCCTATAACCTTTTTCATATAACTAGTAAAATACTATCAAATCATATTCTGAGAAGTTGTCTAATAAGTGCTTATTAAGTAAATGAAATGTATGGCATTTATATACAAATTTTGTCACCATGGTCTTATTAAATGAGTAAGGTGATGAAACTTGTTTTAAGTTGTACTTACTTATTGGATCTCTGATGACAAGTGCAGTTGGTGTCTCAACAAATGGGCCCATGCCAATAATATTTTCAGCTGCGATTCGGAAAAAGTAGGCTTTTCCTTGAATGAGACCCTGGACAGTAGCATTTTGTCGGGTGACTGTGTATGTCACGGGGGTCCAAGCTCTGCGGTCAGCTTCCCGCTTCTCAATGACATAGTTGGTGATTGGAGAGCCTCCATCATCTTCTGGAGAAAACCATGTCAATTTGCAGGAGTCATTGGTTAGATTGTCAGAGAGGAATGGTATTCCAACAGGACCTGGTACATCTGAAAATAAGAGGAAAAAATTCAAACTGTCTTTAGTGAACTCAACATGTGTTACTCTTTGCTTTTAAAAAGGAGACAAATATGGTTATGAAGAAATTAAGTTTTTGTGTCTAAGGGAGAATAAAATGCAAAAATCATGAGATGGAGGGAGCAGCAGGAGAGGGGTGAGGAGTGGGATGGTCACTTTGGGTTGTTTCCTCTCCAAGAGGTAAAAAGATAATTTTTTTTCTGGGTGATGAGTCAATCAATGAGCAGCACAGGAGGGGTTGGAATTTTAATGTGGAAGTATATGAATTCTCCAATTAAAGTCACGGCTGTTTAGAAGTAAAAAGGTTTAAGAGCTTGAAACTGAAAAGCTCCCAGGACTACAGCTGAATGAGATGGTTTTATGTAATTTAAATATTAATTATGTTAACACAGGACTGGCTATTTGCAGCATGGCTGTACTTAGAGTCATGTGCTCTAAGTGGGAGGGCTTCACTTTCAAAGCAAATCACTGGACTAAACCAGACAACAAGAGGCATAAAAAGTTCAACTCTATGTTCAGTGACATTTGGTTATATTCATAACCAAATGCGATGCTCCTCAATTAGAATACTGAAACCTTCAGAGGGTTTTTCATTATTAAGATAATTAGCAAATAACCATGTGAAAATAACTATTTTCAAATGTGAAAATGATCGTCACTGACAGATTTTAAACATTCATGTGTATAAAAGTTGCTTTTAGGGAAATGATATAATAATAGTAGGCATTTATGGTGGTACGTTCTGTAAAAAAAAAAAGCAGCATAAAAAACTTTATGTGTAGTAGGAATACAACTGTATAGAATATACGTAGGCTAAAAAAGCAAAAAGGAAAAATTTAAAATTCTAATCTGTGGATTATGGGTGATTTTTTTTTCTTTTCCAAAATGTTTATAACATAGTTTTATTAAAACATAGTTTTGCTGTAGATGTAATAAAAATGCTTGTTGAAAACATTGCATAGACAAAGTGAACTTATTTACCTAATACATCAACAATAATTGTCTTCTTTCTTTCTCCCCCTGCATTTTTGGCAAGAAGAGAATAGACGCCTTGATGGCTCCTCTGGCAGTTCTTGATGACCATGGATGAGCTGATGGCCGTTTCCTCAATGGTGGCTTCTTGAGGTAACGCTCTTTCGTTCATGCTCCAAGTGACAGTTGGAGGCGGCTTCCCAGAGACGTAAGCAATGATTCGGATCACCCCTCCAGCATGGACAACAATTCTGTCTCTGACACTGGCATCTAGCTGGAGGTCAGGTGAAACTGGGAAAGAATTGAAAATTTTCAATGTGGTTTCCACTTTCAGTCTGAAACGTAAGTATGGAAGAAATAATAGAAGGGCTGATAATTACCAATTCTGTCTTTCATTTCAATGATATCTGTGACTTCTCCAGGTTCTCCAATGCCAGCAATGTTAACTGCTCTCACTCTAAATTTATAGAATGCCCCTTCTTTTAATCCTGTCACAACAAGTTTTGTTCCTCTCACTTCTTTATCTTTAGCCTGGGGGAAATGGATAAACATTTTATAGTTAGTTCTTTGCAGCTTGTTGCTTTCATAACTTTCTACCATATAACCAGTAGCCCACTTACTCTCTTTAGGAAAATTGTCAGTTTAGGTTTTAAGGCTCAGCTTTTATAGGCAACACTAAATGGAATAACTTGCCAGGAATGATGTTTTAAAATTATTATCAAATGGACCTGGGGATGTAGCTCAGTGGTAGTCTCCTTAACCCTAATCTGATTAATTTTTTGACAATAACATATTTGCATCATTAGTTATGAAGTTATTTTTCTGATTTCTTTTCTTCCTTTTTTTTAACCTTTATTTTACTTTTTTTTTTTTTAACGTGGTGCCAGGGATCAAACCCAGTGCCTCATGAATGCTAGGCAAGCACTCTACCACTGAGCCACAACCCCAGCCCTATTTTTCTGATTTCTTAAACTAAAAATATAGATAGAAGCTAATGGGATTGAGAGTAACTACTACATTTTTAGTTCGTACATAGTACATTTTTTTAAAGCCAGGTTTTAGTTACCTTTTCCCATTCTTCTTTTCCTTCTTCCTTATACTCAACAATATATCCAGTTATTTTGGAACCACCATCTTTTAATGGGGGAGACCATTCGAGGTCCACCGATGATTTAGTCCAGTCTGTCACTTTGGGAAATGGAGGGCCAGGAGGAGCTGGAACAAACCAGTATAAATTAGTATTCTTGACTTTTCCATTGCACTTTTGGAAGATAAATTTTTTTTTTAAATAAAGAATGATGGCAAGCCTCACCAATTGGATCTCTAGCAGTCACTGGATCTGATGGCAAACTTGCAGGACCCACACCAGCAGCATTGATTGCATACACGCGGAACTGGTAGTCAGAACCTTCAATAAGACCAGTTACTTTGTAAGAAACACCCAAAGTCATGGCTTTGATAGGGTCTCGGTTCACCCTCTTCCATCTCTTTGAAGTGGTGTCTTTCATTTCTAGCCAGTATCCAGTCACAGGAGAACCTCCATCGTACTCTGGCTCTTCCCAGTTGACAGTCATGGAGTTACGAGTCACACTGCTAACTGTTGGTTTATCTGGTGCCCCAGGGACAGCTGTGGGGAAAACAATACATTAGTCTACAAGAAATTACAAACAGCATAGATAAGAATAGCTTTGGTGTAAAACGTGAGCCAACTTACAGAAGAGGTTTCGTGCTGTCTCAGGTTCACTGTCAAGTGGTTCTCCAATGCCATATTTATTCTGGGCCATGATTCGGAATACATATTCATGGCCTTCCAGCAATTTGGGAATTGTGTACATGCACTCTTTAGGTTCGCTGGAAACACGTACCCATGTCTTCCTGTTAGCTTCTCTTTTCTCAATTACATAGTTTGTAATCTTGGACCCACCATCATCTTTAGGTGGAAGCCAAGATAATGTCATTTGATCTGCTGAAATTGATTCAAATTTTATGGGTCCTATTGGAGGGCCAGGACGACCTAAAATGGTTTAAAGAAGGAACATTTTATTAGAGTGATTTTTTAAAGCCTGAACCTATTTATGGATGTAAAAACATGCAGTTTTAACCAAGTCATGCAATCTTTACCAAGGACATTGAGTCTCATCTCCTTTGATGCTGTTCCTAGGTTATTTACAGCTGTGATGGTGTATAAGCCAGTGTCACTCCTGCGAGACTGTGGAATAACTAAAGTGCAGGTATCGTCCACCACCAGTTTGTTGACGTGGGTGTCATAGAGAACAGGTTCTTTGTTATCAGGCTTCTTTGGAGGAGCTTTAAACCAAGTGAGTGTTGGGAATGGCACTCCTTTGATTTTGGCCACTATGTTAACATCAGTTCCTTCTTCAACCTCCATGAATTCTTTGAGCTCAATTGATGGTGGGCCTAGATTATTAAAAATTAAATAAGTTATCATTAGGAGTAAAAAGTGCTGAAGGACAGAAAGTACAATTTACAAGGGTGATAAAGGTGTTTGTATCTACTATAGGCAGACTTTTTATCCCAGGCCTGTATAAGAGTGGGTCTGTTTTTAAAACTGTTGTACTTGTTTGAGGAACAGGTACATGTAGTTTATTGGATCTACATGTGGCTAGATTTCTCAGCAATTGCCTTTCTCTTTTCTGGCATAATTATGCATGAGCATATACTGATAAAAGGGCAGAAGGGAGTGAAGTGTAATAGCTTAGGCTTGGGAGCCCTGTCGCCATGATTTCTTTAATATTCATGCGGAGTTACAAAGGGATTCACAACGTTTACTCTAGGTGACTTCCCCTCATAAGAAATGCAACTGCCGGTAGAGGCAAAGGAATTTTCTATTTTCCACAGATTTAGTATAAGAGTATGAAAGAGGGTAGTAACTATAGCCTTCAGCTTTGAAAAGAGAACTGAACAAATTTGCACAGCAGTAGTGATGGTAACAATAATCAGAGAGTGCAGCATTACCATATTTGTATGTATATTTTATCTTTTTAAACAGATACTTATTTTTCTCAAGTGGAGGAAAAGAAATTTGATTGTGAAGAGAAACGCACTGCGGCAGTTGCCAAGCAAATGACTGGTTGCTTTCTGACCCTTCTGAGGAGCAGGCAGAGGAACTGCCTTAACTTCTGACAAAGAAAACAGCTTTCCATGGAGAAAATTACAGTAAGAAAATTACAAACATCATCTCCTTTCATGTAAGGAGAATGTAACTCAGTTGAGGTTGAGGGATGGGTAATTGAGGAATTTGCCCATGTCAGCACTCAGGCCAGAGGAACTTCCTAATACGTTCTCATATCCCATTCTTACTAATTTGGGGTAGTATTAAATACCTAGGAAGGCAGCTATAAAGAGGGAATTCTCTGTCAGTGGGTTGATACTTACATGTCTGGTCTTTGACGGTCACGGGGCCAACAGTGGCGGAAGGTTTGCTGACTCCTGCAGCATTGACAGCTTTGACCCTGAATTCATATTCCCCACCCTCTATGAGGTCTTCAACGGTAAATTCCAATTCTTCCACATCACGCTTATTGCACTGTCTCCACGCTTCCTTCTTTTTCCCAGTAGGGTCCCATGCAAGGCACTCAACGATATAGTGGGTGACAGGGGAGCCCCCATCATTCTTTGGAGGTTTCCATGAGAGATGGACTGTATTCTTTGTTATCAGGCCAATTTTGAGTTTAATAGGAGGATCAGGAGGAACTGTAAAAATAGTTAAGGAGGCATTAAGCAGAGTTTATACCAATACAGTTCAAATTTGAGAAGATATTTTAGACTTGGATTTTAAAACTCACAGATTGGATCTCTGGCAGTGGTCCTCTGAACGGTTTCCACAGGTGGGCCAATACCAAAACGGTTTTCTGCTCGCACGCGGAAGAAGTATTGCTGTTCAGAAATGAGGTCAGGCACTACAAAGGAGGTGCTTCCACAGTTTGGATTGACTTTAGTCCAAGCCTTTCCATCAATAGTCTTCTTCTCAATGACATAGCCTTTGATTCTGTCTCCCCCATCATCGTCTGGCATCTTCCATGAAAGTCTGCAACTACTCCTTGTGATGTCACTGACTTTCAAATCTTTGGGTGGACCTGGTACATCTGTTGGAGGCAAATCATAATGTAGACAGCGTTCCTTGGATGTTTAAAACTAATTTGTTCCTATTCCATAGCAACTTTTAAAGTCTTTCTTACCCATGACTTTGACTCTGCAATTTGCAGTCTTCTGTCCTGCTTTGTTCTTGGCTGTGATGCTGTATTTGCCTGAATGCGAACGTTTACAATCTGGGATGATGATTACAGATGAGTTTTCAGCAGTCTCCAACTGTACAAAGGAAACAGTGTTCGTATATCGAATGAAGTAACAGTAGTACAGAAGTCAACCATATTGTGAGTTATTTCAATTATTATTATTATTTTTTTACCTGTGCATCTTCAGGTATGTCATGAACTCCATCCTATTAGAAAAGAAGACAATTGTAGTATAAATATTCCTTCCAGGGATTCAGTGGGACACTCAGGAAAATTTTAATTTTCTTACCTTCATGGCCTTCTTTGCCTTTCCATCAAACTCCCAAGATGATTTTGGTGTTGGGCGCCCTTTGATGACAGCGGGGATTCTAATCTGTGAGCCAGCCTTACAAACCAGGCAGTCTTGTGCTCCAATGTCAATGAAAACCTCTGGTACCTCTGTAAAGCCATAATGTAATAGGATTTAGCTGACATTATAAAAAAGTGACTGACCTATCCTTAGGAGATTAATCAATTTCATAATGAGACTTAAGAGATGCATACACTGAATAAGGACCAGTACCTTGAATATCAGTGGCAGGTATCTCTCCAGTTGTGTCACTTGGTTCAGATTCACCAGCTTCATTGACAGCTTTCACTCTGAACCTGTACTTCCTGAGTTCTTTCAGGTTGGGTACCACACATTCACAGGTAGTAAGAAGTTTGTCTGGTTCATTGACTCTCTTCCAGTCAGTGGTACCTTCTTCTTGCATTTCTACAATGTATCCTTTGATTGGACTGCCACCATCTTTGGCTGGCGGTTTCCATGCCAGTGAGATGCTTGACTTTGTTTTATCTTTAACCTCTGGGCAAGAAGGTGGCCCAGGTGGGTCTAATAAGAAATCAAAACAAACGAAAAAGCACATCAAATTTTGAAGGTAATATAATGCTAGATTTTTATACTGTAAGACTCCTTTGTTGCTATATAAGATTAAATATTATTTTTAATCTATTAAAATAGGAATGTTAAAAGGGAATAAGAATCTACTTGAAACAATCTACTTGTCTTTAGCATTAATGCAAAGACACAGAAATCAAACAACTGGAAAAGAAAGACTACTTATGATATCTAGATACTCTATAGTCTGTTTACACATGATTAGTGAAAAGCTAGTGTACTTTTGAGATTCCCTTGATGAGGTTCTACTGTATTTTTCACTGAAAACACATTTTGCTTATCACAGTATGAAAAATTTTAAATAATTTCATCATTAGTTGGTATATCTTTGAACATAAGCTAATCGTAATGCTCTTTAGAAGGATCAATCTCTGCAATAATCACATAACCACCCTTTTCATTTCTGAAGTGTTTTACAATTATAGAAATTATTTTATTCTATTTATCTTTTTAATTATAACTTTTCCCCCTCTAGTGAAGAGACCCTATGTTCAGTAAACACTAGTTTGCTGAATGAATAAATGAATACCTATTGTACCATATTATATATATTCTCCATATAGCAGTTAAGAGTATTTTAAAATAACAGTTGATTTTTTCCTACCAAATATCCAATCAGATACACAGCAAACTGAATTAACTGTCAAGGACACAGAATTTTGATTTTTTGAATGAATCTTATCATAGATCTTTCAGAATTTTCCTCTTTTATTTGCTCTCACAGAATGTGCCTGAAAATTTGATCTCTTTGCTTGATAAATATTATTGAAAAGCTAACGACATTTTTCTTTTTGTTGAATTCCTGCAGAGGAGTGTCTTTAGTGGGAGAAATGACTTCAATAGTCTAATGAGAAAGAAGTTCATTTAAAGTATGAGAGCAGAGAGGAGCTTATAGTCAGTCCATCCAGGTTTTTATAATTCTGATTTCTTATAAAATATGAGGTTTAATCCAAAAGTTAAAAACTGTATGATTTTATGTGTATATAGTGATATATCTATATATATATCTCTATATATACTTATGACTGTCTATGTAAACATGAATAATAGTTTGACATAGAAAATTAAAAAGAGAAGAACGATCTATTTAATAACTCTTCCCTTTAGAAATGATTTCCAGCAAGGAAGCATACTTACATATGGGATCTCCAGCAAGAGCTGGATCTGATGGTTCACTGGGAGGGCCAATTCCTGCAGCATTTATTGCCATGGCTCTGAACTGGTATTTAACGCCTTCAATCAAACGGGGAACATTAAATTCTATACCCTTCAATCCCACTTTTGTTATTGGTGCTCGGCTAACACGTGACCAGTAGGCGCCTCCTTCCTCTCTCTTCTCCAGCCAGTAGCCAGTAATTGGAGAGCCACCATTGTCCAAAGGAGGTGTCCAGCTCACTAACATTGACCCTTTGGTGCGCTCCAAGACCTTTGGTTTTCCTGGAGGCCCAGGAAGGCGATAAGGATCTTGAATGACCACTTTATCGGATTTGCACTCATCACTGGTTCCATATTTATTCACTGCTCTAACTCGGAACTCATACTGTCCATTGGGGATAAGTTTCCAGACCTAGAAATGAGACAAATAGAAATGTCTTAAAAAGAATAGGCTTCCACTGATTTTTACTCTTCTCAAAATTGAACTTACTTTGGGAGGTATTACTATAATGGGAAATAAATATATAGACTTAAATCATGGAAGAAGACAGAGAAAAGGAAAACCCATTTAAAATAAGAATATATAAATTTATTTTACCTCAGCAGATCTTTCAAGTAAGAGTAGCTGAATAGCAAATGGTATTTACTAAGTAGCCTTATGTGCAAGGTGCTAAACACTATAATAATGAAATAGCTTCTTGTGTGTGTTTTGAGTTTAACCATTAGATTTCAGGGTTATATGAAAATGGTATTAAGTCAAAGTCATGTGCTTTTAAATATGTGAGAAAATACCCAGAAACATTTACCCCATATCTTCTCTCTACAGCAGTATTGGTGACTTCTTCCCATTCACTCTTTTTCCTACTTGCATCGCGTTTGTCAATAACATAATGGGTGATTTCACTGCCACCATTATCTAGAGGGGCATCCCATGTCAAGTAGCAAGATTCAGCTTTAATATCAGTAACAGCAAGATTTCTTGGTGGGGATGGGCGATCTGGAAGGAAAAGGACAGAGGAGCTTGAAAAGGCAATTCTTCAGCTGACAATGGATTTTTTTTATACAAAAGAAAGCAAGTCCCTTACCATAAACTTCAACGTGAACATTTCGGAACACTGAGCCGAGGCGATTAGAAGCAGTAATGGTATAAGTGCCCTTGTCCTCCCGGACGGCTTTGGGAATGATAAGCTCCGTCTTTGCCTCACTGCGGGACACTTCTTCCTTGGTTATTTGAAGTGCATCAGTGGGTTTTTCAATTACTGTTTCGTTCTTGGACCACTCGATCTTAGGCATTGGAAGACCCGTCACATCTGCAGGGATGTTAACAGGCTCCCCTGCCTTAACTTTGATAGTGTCTCCTCGAACGGCCAGACGTAATTTAATATTTGGAGGCACTACAAAGAGAAGGGAGAGAAAGGGAAAAGCAGAAAACTTATAAGGATGTTTTCTCAACTTACAGGAGAAGGGCAGAACTGTAAAGTGCATTAAAGTTATTAGGTTCAGAATCCACACCTTCATCATCTTGTATGACTACATTAAGAGGCAGGGATGGTTCACTTTCACCAATTGCATTGACGGCTTTGACTCGGAACTCATACATTTGGTGTTCATCGAGATTTTCAACCAGAAAAGATGTGGTTGGGCAGAGGCGTTTGTTAACTCTTTCAAAGTCAGGTTTGTCATGACGCCGTTTTTCAATGATGTATCCTTGGATGGGACTGCCACCATCGCTGCGGGGTTCTTTCCAATCAAGGGTGATAGTGGACTTGGTCCTTTCTGTGTATGTCAGCCTTTCAGGAGATGTCGGAGGACCTTTAACCAGAAGCAAATTAAATGATGAGCATGAGAGAAATATTAATATGGGAATTAATATTTCACATTATTCATGTGAACAATAGGTTTCTGTTTGGCATTATCTTATATCCATTTTTAAAATCCTCCTCAAAATGTGTCAGCTACCAAAATACAGCCATTCTTGCAGAATTTGTTTTTAGCAAACTTTCCATTGAGTATTAATTAAAAATAAATCAAGGTGAACATATGCTTTTTTATATTTAGTCTTTTAGATTGTTTACCTCCTGTCACTGGGAAAGTTTCTAATCTCAATGACCTAGTAAAATAGGTCTGTGGTTTTGCTTTGGATGGCCAGTTGAGAGCAAAGTGTTTTTTAGCAGGCACTGAGATATGGCTACTAAACATTCTGCAAATCATGTTGCCTCAAGTGTAGGTTTAAATACAATGGAGACTGTGTGTAATCCTTCTATGGTTTTGTGTCCTGAAGGACAGAACCAAGGGTAAGTTCTGAAAGGTGAAACTAGACCCAATCCGTGCTTACTGAAGTTATTGTAACTAGAAGCAGTGGAATCCCAGCACTGTTCTAAAGCTTGTGGCACAATTTAATGTGCTTTTTGAGACAAGCTTTAACAGTGGTGTAGGATATAATTTATATTTTTTTCCAGGGGGTGATGGCAGAGGAATAACTACTTTTGTCTCTTGAGAAATAGGTCTTTGTCAAAGGCATTGCTTTCTTAAAATGAGGGTCAGTGTGCATTACCAAGTATGTACAATTGTAAGATTTCATGTTATCTCTGGAAGATTTCCTCTGATTATTTTCCTATCCTTTCTTTGGTGGTTCTTTCTGGTTTGTGGCCTCCCTAGCTATCCAATTTGGAGACTTTTTGATGAACAGGGCAAGGTTAAGGCATTTATCATAAGACATTTTATCTTCTGGGAAAAAAACCCTATTAAACTACTAGATTATTAGAAAAAAAAACCAAACTCCAGTGAATGCCATTGGAAAGATTTAATACTTCTAAATTATTACTAGGTTATTACTAAGTCCCAGGAAAATCAAAAGTTTTCAGCACACAAATCTATGGATGATAAATATACTTGGAACCAAAGTTACTTTGGAATTATACCAAAAATGATGTCTTTAAGTTGCTTGTAGTTATTTGATTTACTCTCTAGCTATTCGTTTTGATTACTCTCTATTTATAGATCTTGAGACTGTTGGGAGTTTGAAACCATAAAGCTCAATGAATAAATGATATAACTAGAAGCAAAGCAGTATGTATTTTGTACACAGTGAAAAACTTGTTTTACCTAGTGGATCAACTGCAAGAATTGGTCCTATTTCAACAGGAGGGCCACAGCCAAACTTGTTCTTGGCAATAACACGGAACATATATTCTTGTCCCTCGAGGAGACCTGTGATGTCACATTTAGATCTCTCGGTCTCAATTGGTTGTCTCCAAGTATGCATTTTAGCATCCTTTCTTTCAATAATAAAGCCCGTGATTTCACTTCCTCCGTCATCTGCTGGGTCAGACCAGTTAAGCAGACACATCTTTCTGTTTGTTACAACAGGTTTTAAGTCGAGAACTGGACCAGGGACATCTGAAAAATAAAGCAGCAAAATTAATGTAATAAGTCACTATCACTTGGGAGAATCCTATGAAAATCCATGCAGAATTCCTTACCAAAAACTTCCACCCGAGCTGCTGCAAATTTGGAGCCACTGTTATTAGTAGCTGTAATTATGTATCTGCCATGATCTTTTCTCAATGCGTTCTTGATAATTAGCTCAGATTTGGTTCCCACGTTCTCTATTACAACACGGTCTTTGTCCAGCTCTCCTTCTTCTATGGTCCATACTCTTGTAGGCACTGGGCGGCCAGTCACCACAGCTGGAATTCTAAGAGTCTTCCCTGCCATGATTTGTATTCCACCCTTGACAGAAACATCCAATTCCACATTTGGAGGTTCTGTTGAAAGAGAGCAGTCATACGTTAGTCCAAAAAAGATGAAAAAAAAATAGCCCCATCTTTAGAAAATATCCATCATTTTATTCAAATAAAACTTTTAAGTACCTTTTGGTTCAGCCACTGTAACAGGTTCTGTTTCTCCAGGTGGTCCTTCACCTGCAGCATTGACAGCACTCACGCGAAGTTTGTAATCAGCACCCTCTCGGATTTCTTTGACAGTGTATTGACGGACTTTGATCATCTTCTCTGTGCAGCGTGACCATTCATTTGTGCCAACCAACTGCTTATCGACAAAGTAGCCAATAATTTCCCCACCACCATTGAAAGCTGGGGGTTCCCATTCCAATTCAATAGTTGTAGAGCTTGTGTCAGCAATTCTTGGAACAGGCGGTCCAGGTGGAGCTAGAATGAATGCAGGTACACACATCAAACCCACTGATGGTTTTGAAATGTACAGTGGCTTACTATCCCTAACTTTCTTCCTGGGGAATTACTTACAGATTGGATCACGTGCTGTTTTGGGATCAGAAGGTGGACTGAACTTGCCAGGTCCAGCTGCATTTTCCGCACATACTCTGAAGACATAGGTGAGTCCTTCTAATAAGCCATCTACCTTGGTTTTCAAAGAACTCAGAAGGTTTTTGTTGACACGAGACCAATGTGTACTGTTAACTTCACGTTTTTCAAGCCAGTAACCCAAGATGGGGCTTCCATTATCTTTTGGCTCATTCCATTTCACTAGCATACTGTTGCTGGTAACATCTTCCACAATGGGCTTGTCAGGTGCATCTGGTGGTTCTGAGGGAAAAAAAAAAGTAAAATTCCCAATGTGACACAAAAATTGAACTTTATAAACTGATATATATATATAAAAAATCCCAAAGTATATGACAGAAAAAAAACAAACTTTCAATGCCAAAGGAACCTTACCAAATGGATCTTTAGCTAGAAGTGGCTTTGAAACACATGGTGGTCCAGGTCCAAACCTATTTTCAGCTCTGACACGGAAGAGGTACTCTTTTCCTTCAATCAGTTTTGTTACTGCATATTTGCAGTGTCTAAGTGTTGAGGTGATGACAATCCATTCTGAGTCAGGTTTTGTCTTGTCTTTCTTTTCCAAAGTGTAGTTTATGATTTCACTGCCACCGTCATCAAGGGGTGGTTCCCATTTACAGAGGACTGAGTTCTTTCTAATATCTTCAAATACAAAGTTGATTGGTGGTCCTGGTGTATCTAATATTTCAAAAGAAAACAGTAATTAAAAATTTGCATAGAGATGGTTTGCTATGGAACATGTAAATGTTAGTATGATTCTTTGACATAAATCTGATTTTCCCACATCTGACTCTCTTTATATCACATTAGATAATGAATGATGAGATTAGTTGATTTTTTTTTAATATGGTATGAAAAAAATATGACCGAGGATTATTTGCTGAACCTATTTCCCACTTCTTCTAACTGTCCACCCCCAACTAATTTTTATGTTATGTGTAAGCTTTTCCCAGCTGAAAGTATAGGTTTAACCATTTACCTAACACACTGACAGTGCACGGAGCTTTCGCAATACCATGGTCATTTTCAACTTTGATCATATACAGGCCATGATCAGGTCGGAGAGAATCTCGGACTCGGAGCTGAGATTCTCCTTGTTTGCTATTGTTGATGCTCAAACGCTCTGTCAGAGACAGGACAAATGGTTCTTCTTCTTGAACTTCACCCTTCTTCTTCCTAACCAGGGGGGTTGGTCGCTTCTTAATTTCCTCTGGTACAATGACATTTTCATCCTTTATCCATGTAATAGTTGGGTATGGTGAGCCAGAAATGGTTGCATCAAGAGCTATTTCATCACCTCGTTTCACTTCTAGACTTGTTCTCAGAATCACTTTTGGAGCATCTGTAATGATTAAAAATAATTATTTTCAATTCTGATTAAAATATCTGACAAAACATCATTCTCATTTATTTCATAACAGGAAAGTAGCAACTCCATTAGACAAAACTTACCGATAGGATCTACGGCTTTGGTGGGAGGAGTAGCCCGAGAAGGTTCACCAATACCGGCAGCATTCTCTGCGCGTACACGGAATTGGTACTCCTTTCCCTCTTCAAGTCCTTTTGCTGTGTAGGTCAGGACTGGTACCAGGTGTTCATTGCATCTCTTCCACTTGTCTTCTCCCTTAGCAATCTTCTCTATGATGTAACCCATTATCTTGCTTCCTCCATCATACAAAGGTGGCTTCCACGTAATAGTCATTGCCTTAGCTGTAGGATTATGAACCTCAACATCTACAGGTGGATCAGGAGGTTCTGTAGAACAAGAAAAAAAAATATTAACTTTGGGAAAACCATCTTCTTCCTTTTTTTTTTTTTTTGGTGCTAGGGATCGCACCCAGGGCCTTACGCATGCAAGGCAAGCACTCGACCAACTGAGCTATGTCCTCGGCCAACCCACCTTCTTAAAACAAAAAGAAAACTTGCATATGAATTACTAGTCATTGTATATCCATGTTTAAACTTACGCTTTGGATCTTGAGCAATGACCGGATTTTTCAGTTCAATATATTCGCCTCCACCAATCTTGTTGACTGCTTTAACACGGAAGAAGTATTCACCATTTGGTATGAGATCCTTTACAGTCCAAGACAGTTTGTTCTCACCAGACATGACTGGTATATATGTCCTCCTCCCAGCTTCTCTGCGTTCCAGGACATAATGAAGAATTGGGCTTCCACCATCAAATTCTGGAGGCTCCCAGGTTAACTTGCAAGAACTCTTGGTCACATCACTTGCTTTAATATCTTTGCATGGACCAGGTAGGCCTGTTACAATTGTAATTGATAATTATTATTGTAATCCTGAAAAATCAGAATTTTCATAGTGTACGTTCTCTAGGTGGAGCTATTGTATTGGATAGTCTTTCATGTGCTAGAGTGTCCTTCATATTGGAGGACATTAGCATCCTTGGCCCTCTACCACTAAATGTCAGTAGCAGCTCCTAGTCTTTGTGCAGAGCAAAAATGGCCCTATAAATTTCCAAACATTATCAGGGGTGGGATAAAGGACAGAAAATGTTACTACCCCTTAAAGAGAATACTATGGAAAAATGTGAATTTATACAACAAGAAATAAATATTGATCATTTAAACATTCTTTGGGTATGCTATATCTCTAAATCATTATTTCACATGCAAATAATTAAAACAGGAATAAATTAGCCTAATAAGAGTATAGCAATTTTATCTGTTAAGAATTGCTTTACTTCTTACATGGAAATAAATAATCTGTGGGGATGTTTAGTCTACAAATTGGCCAGTTCATGAAGCCATTTATACTAATACTGCAAACTTAACTAATTTCCCCAACATGTGAAGAAAATATAGTGTTTATTTCATTAAAGAATGATTACCTATGACTTTGACATTGATTGAGGCAGTTGCTGAGCCAAGCTTATTCTCCAGTGTAATGGTGTAAACTCCAGCGTCTGCATGGACACTCTTGGGAACTTCAAGGTGTGCAGAGATGTGATCATTCTTCATTGTTAATCTATCACTAGCTTTAACTTCTTTGCCATCTTTATGCCAGCTAACAGTTGGAACTGGGACAGCTCTGAAGGGAACAGGAATGCTTAACTTTTCACCTTCAATGACCACAATGTCATGAGTCTCCAGATCAATCGTTGGCTTGCCTATAAGATATAATCCAAAAGAAGGGGTAAAATGTCTGTCAAAATGCAATGCAATGAACAAAGACTAACTTATTAACTGTAAAAGACAGTGTTCTTACAGTCTGGGTCTTTGGCAACCACATTTTCGGAGATTTCAGAAGGTTCACTGACACCAACAGCATTGACGGCTCTCACTCTTAGAACATACTCTTTGTCAGGAACAATACCCTCTTCAACCTTGAATTTCAGGTCTTTTATTGGGCGAGAGTTAACTCGCATCCATTTCTCAGTGCCTACTGGACACATTTCAACATGGTATCCTATAATAGGACTTCCGCCATTTTTCTCTGGAGGCTTCCAAGCAATGGCAATGTGCTTTCTCCCAGCATCAGTCACATGTAGGTCAAGGGGAGGTGAGGGAGGACCTGAGAAAAGAGTGAAACAATTACGTAAACAGTCTCATCATCAAGTTTTAGACAATATCCTTTGTGTGATCAACACTACTTACTTGTTGGATCTTCAATTGACAGGATTTCTGTGGGTTCACTTGGGTGACCAACTCCAGCTTCATTTTCTGCCCGAACCTGAAACTGGACCTCTGTTCCTTCAATGACATCAGTTACTCTGAAGTTACAGTCAGGTCCTGAGGTCTTTCCAGCTTTCACCCAACGAGTGCCTAACTTTTCTTTCTTCTCAATGATATATCTATTGAAATAAGAAGGCATTTCATTAGCATTAATAATGAAAAAGAAAATGTTAAGAATTTGTAGTCAAGCTGGGTATGGTAGCGGCTGAAGCAGAAGATTGCAAACTTGAGGACAGCCTGGGCAATTTATTGAGACTATCTCAAAAAACAGACACTAGTATGGCAGTATGTATAAACATGGCTATATAACCAATGTGATCCTGCACATGAAAAAATCTTTATACGTGGAAAAATAAGAATTCATACCCCATTTGAATCAAATGTGTGATATATGATATGTCAAGATCATTGTAATGTTTTGAGCAACTAATAAAAAAAGGGATAGGGATGTACCTCAGCTATAGATACACTTGGGTTTAATTCCCAAGTTTCACACAAAAAAATTTTAAACCAAAAGTAAGTTATCTTTTATAAATTAATTCAGGTTCTACCTCTGTATTGGTCTTCCACCATCATTTTTAGGTGGCTCCCACTTTAGGTCAACATGTCGTTTTGTCACGTCAACCACTGTCAGGGCATATGGTGGTCCAGGAGTAGCTGAAAGCAAAATAATAATTACTGATTAGAAAAGCCAGAGGGAAAAGTAATAATCTAGTACAAATGTTGCAAAGATTCAGTTAGAAAGCATACTGAAGGTGTCTTTGGCCAGGACAGAATCCTCAATTTCAGTGTAGTCACTTTGTCCTATGGCATTTTCTGCAGCAACTCGGAACACGTATAAAGAACCCTCAGTCAGTGGGGTTACTGTGCACTTGGTGTCCTTGACGGTGGTGTCCACTGTTTGCCAGCCTTTTCGCCTGACATCCCTCTTTTCCACGATGTAGTTGGTGATGGGCGACCCTCCATCTTTCTCAGGAACTGTCCATTTTAGGTCTGCTGTATTTTTTGTGATATTAATCACTTCAAGCCAACGAGGTGGTGATGGAGGATCTGGACCAGAGAGAGAAAAATTCAGTTTTTTGGATTGTCCAGTATCTAGTCTTCACTGAATAGTTTGGTAGTCACCCAGAAATAATATAGCAAAAAGAAAATGAGTTTTTTTTTCTATTTTCTCATAGTGTAGTTTTCAGACACATGTTGGAAGAATTTATACACCCCACACATCGGGAGGGACTTACAGAGTTTCTCCCGGCAAAGCACAGGGTCACTGGGTTCACTGGGTTCACTTTCCCCAGCCTTGTTCACAGCTCTAACTCGGAACGAGTATTCCTGCCCTTCCATGAGCCCCTTGAGGAAGTGCTCAGTGGTCGGAACTCCTTCGGCCACTCTGACCCAGTCTTCCGTTCCAGTTTTCAGCATTTCAATGACGTAAGACTCGATCTTTGCCCCTCCATCGTGTTCTGGCTTTGTCCAGTTCAAGAATAATGATGTTTTGCCTACATCTTTCACAGTTGGTTTTCCAGGGGGCCATGGAGGATCTGCAAACAATGAAGACAAATATTTAGGTTTGTAAAAAAAGAAGTGACTGTAAGCTTCAAAATAATCATGGAAAATTATAAAAATAATACCTATGGGATCTTTTATTAAGATTGGTTCAGTTGATCTGCTTGGTTTTCCAGGTCCAGCCAGATTTTCAGCCAACACACGGAATCTGTATTTTTTCTTATTGGTGAGACCTTTCACTCTGAATTAGGAAAAAGAGCATGTACAACAATATGGTAAGAAGCAGTAAATTGTATTTTACATAGAAGGGGCAAATTTGTTTAAATTGTGAGAAACTAATTTGGAAACTTAACTAAAAATATTTTAATATAAATTTAAATTGTTCTTTAACAGTCAAGCAATTTAGATTTGGATAAATGTATCAATCTGATTGTTATCTATACTAATGATCATTATAATATAGTGGAGGACACTTTGAAACTTCCAGAAAGCTACTATTTTATAGTTAATTGAGAAGTGTGTTCTTGAATGGAACTTATATAATTTCTGAAATTATATGAAAATAGAAAATAAAAATAATTAAAATTTAATAGTAATCTATATCATGTATGATCACAGGAAATACTAAAAAGCAAAAATTTGGATATATTGCTATTTTAACACTTGATAGAAGTTCTGGGCAATACCTGTATGTTGTATCCTTTATTGGCATCTTATTGCATCTAACCCATTTATCAGTGTCAGGATCTAATCTTTCAACCCAGTATCCAGTGATAGGGCTGCCACCATCATCATCTGGCTCACACCATGTGAGGGTCACTGCATCTTTAGTGATGTCTGAGGGTTCTAGGCGAGTTGGTGGTCCAGGTGGATCTATAGATAGGATAATGATATAAAAAGTTATATGTCCTATATATCAATATGACACCCAAATACAAGTTTGACACAAGCATCCTTTTCCAAATTGATATTGACATCCACTTACCAAATGGATATTTGGCTATTATTGGGGTGGCCTGAACTGGCTCACCAACACCATACATGTTTTCTGCAGCAACTCTGAAGACATACTCTTTATTGGGTATTAATTTAGTTGCCTGAAATTTTGTGTCCTTAACAGTTGATGAGAGCTTATGCCACACTTCACTATCTGTTGCTCTTCTTTCCACAACATAGTTTGTGACCTTAGATCCACCATCATCTCGTGGTGGGTTCCATGTTAGAAGACATGACTCACTAGTTACATCTGTGATATCAAATGCAGCCGGTGGCCCAGGCTTATCTGTGGATGGAATTATACAGAAAAAAATGTAACCACATTTTATTCGAGAAGGTAGCTGAAAGAGTTGGTCCCCTTTTAAAACAAAAACCTCCCTTACCTAAGACATTCACTTCCACCACAGCAGTGGCCCGGCCGCTGAAAGAGTTGGTCCCCTTTTAAAACAAAAACCTCCCTTACCTAAGACATTCACTTCCACCACAGCAGTGGCCCGGCCGCAGACGTTCACAGCCTCTATGATGTAGGTGCCAGTGTCGCTTCTCTTACTGTCCATGATAGTCACTGTGGACTTCTTAGGAACATTTTCAATGGTGATTCTCTTGTCCTGCTTTAGGAGCATATCAGCCTTAGTCCAAGTTATTTGAGGTTCAGGTTTTCCAGTTACGGTGGCAGGAAGTTCAATCTTTGTTCCAGCTTTTACAGTAATGCCAGCAAGGAGCTTTACATCGAGGAAAATTTCTGGGGCCTCTGAATGGAAAGGATTATTTATGCTATTAGCAAGTTCAAGTTCAAGTTCGAGCCCTGACTGATAAGATAAAAATAAAAAAATAAATACCCTGTGTGTCCACAGCCTGGATTTCATCTGTGGGTTTGCTCGGCTTGCTAGCGCCTTGCCTGTTCAAAGCCTTTACACGATAGGAGTACCATTTGCCTTCCTCAAGACCTGTCACTTCCATTCTGTCAGAAAGCAAAATAGGATATTTTACTGTCCTGTGGATAACCTATTCCACTGTAAATTTGTCATAGACTTTCTAAAATTCATATCATTGGCACAAGTAGCTTTTAAATTAAGTCTGTATTACTTCAATATTGTAACTACTAAAAACCTTTAACTGCAAGCATTTTCAGCAACACTTTTAAAAGCAGACAGGCACACCAGAGTTCTCAATGAAAAACACAATATTTAAAATTTCCCAGGGAAGATGTATTTTAGTGAGTTAAGAGTAAGCATTTACTCTTTTGCCTAGTAATTAAGAAACCTACTTTGTTTCTGCAACAGGTTCTCCACAGGCAACCCATTTATCGGAACCACGTGGACACTTTTCTACTATGTATCCTTTGATGCGTGAACCACCATCATATTTAGGTGGATCCCATGTTAGGAAGATGCTCTTGGCTGTCCGATCTCTCCATTTAACATTCTCCGGTGGGTCAGGTACCGCTATAACATTTTGAAGAGTGAGTCAGTCAATTCCCTTTCCTTTCCCCATAACTTAACTCCAGTTCTAATATAAAAATCAGGTAAAAAATGAGAATAGGTAAGAAATCATGGAAGTAGGTACTAACTTGCAGGAGCAGACATATTTACAGGTTCATCAACATATGCAGGTTCTCCAGGGCCACACTTGTTACGAGCACAGACTTTGAATAAATATTCTTTTCCTTGTACTAGATCAGGAACTGTGAATTCTAGATCAGTCACAAAGTCCATAACCTGGGACAAAGAAACACAGATAATTAGTTATTTCCCAAAAACGATTTTCCCAATTCAAAGATTTTTACCATGAGCAGGGATACAAATGGAAGTTGTTTTGAATGCTAAGGATTATTCTTATATTAATTTCATATTAGGAAAAAAATTACAAAGTTGGATACATAATAGTATTCAACCCTCAATATAAGGAGAAACTGTTTCATGATTTGTAAACATTCACAAGATGGCAAATAAGATGTTGATTCTACCAGTTTGGTTATTATAAAAGTGATTTGAAATAAGGATAAAGAGTAGTTACTAGTATAAATGAAGGAGGAAAAGAATGGTAGAGAGACCAACTGAGATAATCCAGTGGAGTGAGAAAAAATGTGGTCACCATGGTAATACTTACTTTCCTTCAAATGGCTTATAGCTTAATGGGGACATATTGGGTTCTTATCAGATACCAAGTGAATGTATAAGTTTTATTTATTTTTTTTTACCAAACCTAGCTAAAGATTTGATAAGGCTCACAAAATGGGACTGTTAAACCAAACCTTGGTTAAACTATCTCAGAAGCAATTAACATCAATACATTTTTAAAAAAAGTTTTTGGTAGTTTTTCAGTGAGATAAAAAGATGTGGCACATATTAATTTGTGTGGCATCCCACACAAATTTGGACTACTTCTACAGTCGTTTCTGGAGTTGATGCATCACTACTTGAAACTCACTTTAGTCCATGTTTTCCTACTGACTTCTCGCTTTTCAACAAGATATCCAGTTAATGGACTTCCTCCATCATCCTCTGGTGGTTCCCAAGTCAAATGTACTGAGTCCCTGGTTATGTCTCCAAATTTCAGTTCTTTGGGTGCACTTGGGCGAGCTTAAAAAAAAAGTCAGCAATATTGATGGTTTGAACAAATATTTGTTAATACTGCCATATTACCTTAGATAATAAGCTTAGCTACTTACTGATTACATTGACATCAATTTCCCCAGAAATTGATTTCACAGGATTTTCTAATTTCAGTGTATAAATGCCCTTGTCTGGACGTTCACTTGGAGAGATGACAAGTTCAGCATAGGCAGATAAGGTCTTCATTTTCACACGATCTCCTGCTTCTAGTACTTTATCTCCAAAACACCAGGTTGCAGTTGGCCTTGGATAGCCTGTACTTGGAACCAGGATCTTGATAGGATTCGGGACTATAATTTCCAGACCATCTTTAAATGCACTTAAATCCATTGTTGGTTCAACTATGAAAAAGAAAAATTAATGAGTTTCCAGTACCATAGATAAGTCCTTGGTACCCCAAAGTAGCTATGTGCTATTCCCAAATATAAAATTATCTACTTACCAAATGCATCATCAGCCGTTAGAGGACCAAGAATTTCAGATGGATCTGAAACACCAGCTTCATTTTCTGCAGATACTCTATATAAATATTTGTTTCCTTTTTGCAATCCAGTAACCTAAAATTATGGATTCATATTGGTTAAAAATGTGTACATTTAAGCCCATGATCAAATACTAAATTTTTTATATGTGGTACTAGGGTTCAAACCCAGGGCCTCATCCATGCTAGGCAAGGGCTGTACCACTGAGCTACATCCCCAGGCCTCTAAATATTTTTTTTTAGATGCAAATTCCTTACCTTATAAGTCAGTTCAGGGACAAGTTTCATATTACAACGAATCCAATTATCTTTTCCTTCTTCACATCTCTCAATTATATAGCCTAATATTGGGCTTCCCCCATCTTTCAGAGGAGGTTCCCATGTGAGCTGCACTGATGACTGAGTCTGATCTGAGGAAGTTAGATTCACAGGAGGACTTGGTCTCTCTAAAATGGAAGAAAGAGTTGGAACATAATTTAGTCACAATTGATGAAGATGATGCACTCATCATCTGCCTTGTTAAAAGAATAGGTTTACTAAATTCACTCAATAAAGGGTAGGCACAGTCTACGTTTCTATAATTTTGTTCAAATTTCTCTGATGTTCTTTTTATTAACTTTAATTTGAGTTATTTTAATTGGTAGGCCTGATGTCTTGATTTGATGCAATATACGTTTCATTGGGCTTACCAATTGGATCAGCAACTTTGACAAAGGGTGTGGCTGCACTTGGTTTTCCAACTCCAATTCGGTTTTGGGCTCTGACACGGAAACTGTACTCCTGTCCTTCCACCACATCAGTGACAGTTGCAGACAGGTCTTCGGCTCTTACAGTCATGGCAGTGTCCCACCTTATAGAAGTCTTATCCCTTAATTCAATGACATAGTTTGTGATCTCAGCACCTCCATCATACTCTGGTGGTTCCCATGTCAGTGAGACACCGAATCTGTTCACATCAGTGATGGTTACATTCAAAGGAGGGCCTGGAACATCTGGATTTCACCAAAGAAGAAGCAAATGTTGGTTTGGATTGTGTAGGGGATAAAAGCAAAGATGAACTGGTTTGCAGTTTACTTTAAACACTTCTTACCATATTTGCTCCTTGCCTCTACAGGATTGTCCGTTTCCACTGGTTCGCCAGTGCCAACTCTGTTTCTTGCACTCACACGGAATAGATACTCAACTCCTCCTTTTTGTAGTCCTGTGACAGTAAACTCACAACTGTCTGCACGGTCTGTGGCCAGAACCCAGGTCTTTCTCTTGATGTCACGCCTTTCCACAACATAACCTATGATTTTGCTTCCACCATCAGTTAATGGTTCTTCCCAAGCGAGGCTCACTTCACCATCAAATGTTTCTGTCACTTCTAAGTTACGTACTGGCCCAGGAACATCTGAAATTCATATACAAAAGAATTTTTATGGTGTTATCATGGCCTTAGGTTGTGTTTGTGTCAATCAAATCTGAATGACTCCAGATCTTACCAATAACTTGTAAATTGATGAATCCTTCTGCTTTTCCATGTTTGTTCTGAAGCACAATTTTATACCTTCCCATGTCTCCCTTCTTGGCTTCTACAATTCTGAAAGAAGTTTGTTCAGCTGTAGTATCAACAGTTTTTGAAGACAAAGGTTCATTTTCCTTAAACCACTCAGCTTCTGCTTTGGGGTAGGCATCATATGGTACCACCATTGTGAGAGGCTGGCCAGCATCAACCACAAGGTCTTGATCAGCTGTCTTGATTTTAGGTGCAGCTAGTGAGAAAAATAACAAGTGAATGCTTTTGAGTTATGTACTGCAGTTAAATCATAGCATAGCCTTTTTTGTGAATTTATTAACAAATATTGGCAGCATAATCTTGGAAGTACATCATGGTAACTTTGTGTTAGAGAACACTGTCTTAGAGTTCTAATAACTTTTTATTTTCCTCCAAATTATTGGGTTCTGGAGAAGAGAGGGTTGAAAATGGTCTAAAATCATAAAATAGAGGATTAAGAATGGTATGAAATATGTTTAATTTTTTTTGATAAAGCACTAATTCACAATAAACCAAACTTTTTTTCATATGTGTAAGAGATATCCTAATGGCTTTTACATACAACCTATAAGGATACTTTCAGTACAGATCCAAAAGGTTTACAGGGGTTGGAAATTAAAAGAGTATGGGGCTATCTTTATGTCTGGGAAGATTCTCTGGGTGAAAAGACAATTCTAGGAATTTATGAGTAGCCACTACATTGCCAGCAACTGTCCAAGGTTCTGGCATGTAAAGATGAATGCCATCTATGTCCTCTTATTCAGGGCACTTGGTAGTAAGAGACATTAAAATAGTTAACATGGGGGGATTGGGGTATAGGTCAGTGGTAGAGTGCTTGCCCTAAGCCTAGGTTTGATCCCCAGCAGTGCAACACAAAAAAAGTAAAGAAGTTAACATGTGGAGAAGGCTTACTAGAAATTCAAGGTTCTCTCAGGATTATGTTATTCAATAATGGTAAAGTCTTAAATCTGTGTGTTATCTGTGATAATATTTTAATATTATCTGTCAGAGTATTTTAGAATAAAAGAAAGAGACTTACCTGCCAGTTCAAGTTTAGCTCTGGCTTCTTTGTCTTTGGCAATAAATCGGTATTCACCCTGGTCACGGGGCTTAATATCACAAATCTGTAGCCTGTGTATCTTTCCTTCACTCATCATCTGGTGTTTATCACCCTGGACGACAACCATGTTATTTCGTAGCCACTGGACTTCCACCTTATCTTTGTTGAGTTCAGCGAAAAAGACAACATCAGCACCAGGGGCTTCAAGAATATCTTGAGGAGGCCTGATGATCTCAACTGGGATTTCTGGAAAGTAAATGTGAAATAATTACAAATATGTTTAGATTTTGATTAATAGTTAAAAAAATTGGTCACTAACATTAGAATTATGTTTTACTTAATACATACCTTCCACAAAAAGTCTGGCTCGAGACTTCCTGTCTTCTACTCCACAAGCATATTCACACTCATCATCCAGCCTGCAGTCTTTTATGATGAGTCTGTGGATACTACCATCTTTTTCAAATTTGTATCTAAAGAAGAGAATCAATGATTGGTTAGCCTGCATAATAATTGCTAACTTGTCAAAAGAGTATTGACAGCTCTAGAAATAGAGAATAAGACCAAGAAATAAGAATAAAGACTAAGAAGACTTTTACGTACTTTTTGCCTTCCTTGATTTCTCTACCATTTCTGTACCATTTTACATTTGCTTTCTCTCTGGAGAGCTGGCAGGAGAAGACAGCATCATCGAACTCAGTGACTGTCTGGTCTTCC